CCACCATGGAAAACAGTGGTGGCTCAGTGAGTACCGGCACCTGCTGCCAAGTCCTGGAACTCACACAGTGAGAGGAGTGGCAGTCCTGCAAACTGTTTTCTGACTTTCCCTTGTACACTGTAACACGCTTACATATAAAACCATAAGGACTTTCTGTGCCTGTGCCAGCTCTGAATAATGACATAGAGGCTTATGTTTAGTAGCTTACATCTTAGCTTATTTTTGTTCCCAATTAGCTCTTATAACCTATGTTAACACATTTGTATTAATCTGTGTTCAGCCACATGGCTCCTTTACCTCTCCTCAGTTTCATATGTACAACTTCCTCCATGTCTCATAGGTAAATTCTCCCATGTCTGCTTCTTTACCAGAGTCGCTGTCTCTACTGGAAGTCCTGCCTATTCTCTCCTGCCTTTATTATAGGCTGTTAAGCTTTTTATTTAATCAACCAGAGGTGATGGAGAATAATGTTTACAAAATACTGAGGCAGAAGATACTTCATAAAAATTACAATACTGAAGTCTGGCCTGTACTCAACTCTGTAGGTACAGAAATCAACATTTGAATAATACAAGAACAATCTTTACACAGCAAACATCCAACACATACCTGCATGCAATTCACAAAATAAAATGTAATAAAAACATAAAGTTTAAATACCTAGCCGGGTGTGGTGGTGCATGCCTATAATCCCAGCACTTTGGGAGGCAAATCTCTGTGAGTTTGAGGCCAGCCTTGTCTACAAAATGAGTCCAGGACAGCAAAGGCTTTACACAGAGAAATCCTGTCTCAAAAAACCAAAACAACAACAACGCCAACAACAAAATCTAAATATCATCTATTACTATTTATTTTCTTGTCTCCCCAGTGGCTGGGGTTAGCTCTGAACTCACTGTGTCACTAGGTACCCAGGTATCCTTGAACTCTTTTTTTTTTTCTAATTAATTGTTTTTGTGTAGTTTTTATCTTTTCCTTTCTTTCTTTCTTTTTTTTTTTTTAAGTGTACATGGGTGTTTGCCTGTGTAGACACCTGTGTGCCACAAGCATGTAGTGGGGACACCAGAAGAGGACATTGGATCTTCTGAAACTAGAGTTACTGCCAGTTGTGAGCCACCAACTGGTCACTGGGATTTGAACCCGAATCCTCTGAAAGAGTAGCCAGTGCTCTTAACCTCTGAGCACCGGCCCCCATAAGGACATAGAGTGTAAAGGGTGAGGTTTTATTTAATCATTTTGAGATAGGGTCTCTTTAAATAGCCCTGGCTGTCCTGGAACTATGTAGACCAGCCTGATCTCAAATTCACAGAGAACTGCCTGCCTCTGTCTCCTAAGTGCTGGGATTAAAAGCTTGGGACACCATGACTGGCTAAGATTTTGTTGTGGTTTTGGTTTATTTATCTAGTTAGTTATGGTTTTTGGAGACAGGATTTCTCTGTGTAGCCCTGGCTATCCTAGAACCCACTCCGTAGACCAGACTGGCCTCGAACTCAGATATTGTCCTGCTTCTTCCTCCCAAATGCTGGACTGGTTTATTTATATTATGTGTATAAGTGTTTTGCCTGTATATGTGTGCATGCCTAGTCCTCTTGAACGTCAGAAAAGGATTAGATCCTCTGAAACTGGGTGCTGGGAACTGAACCTGGATCCTCTGAAAGAGCAGACAGTGCTCTTAACTGCTGAGCCATCTCTCAGCCTTGTTTCTGCCCTTTTGACCTCCTGACTGAACTCCCTGTGTACTGGGATTAAGGATGTAGTACCAGGCCTAGCTCATTTCCCTCCTATTCTGTCAAGATCTCTCAATTTTTTTCATTATATGTAGATCTGATAAACATGATTTCTACTTTATTCAAGGCTAAAATAAAAACACTGAGCATGGTTGAGTGCTTGTCTAGCATGCATGAAGCACTAGGTTCAGGCCCCAGCACCCCACCATGCCTACTTTCAATAGTCAGGAACAAGGGCAGGCCCCTTTCGAGGTTGCCCACAGAGCCCTTGGCTTGCTTAGCGATCTCTGTCACTGTTTTTCCATCTTGCTGTCTCTCTTTGTCTCTATTTATTGCTGCCTCTCTCTGTTCCTTTGTGCCTCTGTCTCTCTCCACCTTACTGTCTTTGGTTCTCTTTCTGTATCTCTGCCTCTCTCTATCTCTATTTGTCTCTGTTATCTCTGTCTCTCCTTCAATGGCTGCTGATCTGCTTTGTATTTACCCACTTAGTGGCATGTGGGTCCGAATGCTGTGGCTCAGGGAAAATAATAATAAATAACAATAACTACACTGCATTTTAAGCCCTCACGGATTCCTCAAAGCCAAGAGAATACAGCTCAAAGATAGGGGACTTGCCTAGTATTCATGGTGCCCTGGGCTCCATCCATTCCACTCCAATCCTGTAACCAATGGAGCTTGCAGAGGCAGAGAGGAGGGCCCCTGGCCTGCATAGGTCCCCTTATTCTGGGACAAGATCTTCCCATACCACGTATTATCTGACTGAGGAAAAAAACAAAACTATGAGGTCATGGTGACCCTCCTTACCAAACAGGCCCACAGGCTCCCTTTGAGACAGGTTGTAACTTGTTTAAGGCTGTTGAGCTAGAAGAGGAAAAGTCAGAGCCACAGCCCCGTACAAGGCACAGTAGCATGAGGGCCAAATCTGAATACTTGCAGTCTCTTTAGAACATGGCAGGTGTGCAAAGACCTCTGTTGACAAGGGCAGAGTGGGACCTCTTAATGTTCTTTCTCCTGAGACCTCTTTGTGCCTGAGGAAAATTTTACATGACCCAGAGAAGTAGGTGTGTAACAGGCATACAAACCAAATGCTGATAATCACAAAGACATTTATGTTAAAGCAAACCTTTGGTATGCAGATGATTTTTCCATTTATTAAAGATAAAAGCAGATTTTTCTGCTAATGGTAAGGATTTTTAAATTTATTTTTATGTAAAGAATTAAGTCTTAGCTGAGCGTGGTGGTGTACCCCTTTAATCCCAGCACTCAGGGAGGCAGAGGCAGGCAGATCTCTGTGAGTTTGAGGTCAGCCTAGTCTACAAATCTAGTCCAGGATAGTCAAGGCTACACAGAGAAACCTTATTTTGGAAAGTAACAAATAATAATAATAATAATAATAATAATAATAATAATAATAATAATAAGTTAAGTCTTGGGTGAACATTTGATATTTCAGGACCGTGGTGGAACATCTTCAGTGTTTTCAGAGTTGATCCATACTTTATTTTTAAACATAGTTCATTATTATTTTTTAATATGTATATGTCTGTGCATGAGTGTGCACATTTGTGTGTGGATGGATTTGTGCAGGGGTCAGAAGCCTTTGATACACCTGGGTGGGTGCTGGGAACTGCACTTGGGTTCTCTGGAAGAGCAGGAAGTCTCTCAGTAGATGACTGCTGGGCATCTCTCCAGCCCCTCTGATTTTGCAACTGTCAATGCTAAGAAAGCCAACTTGAATGGATGGTTATGCCCCTATCAGAAGTATGGTTAGGGCCATTTCAGAAATTATTGGAAATGTGCTAATCTCAAGCCAAAGTTCACTGAATGATTTTTTTTTTTAAACCTTTTGAGACAGGGTTTTACTGTGTAATTCTGGCTGTCCTGGAACTTGCTGGCTATGTAGAACAGGCTTACCTCAAAGTCAGAGATCTACCTGCTTCTGTCTCCTGAGAGCTGGCATTAAAGGGGTGTGCCACTAAACTGGCCTCATTGAATGAATTTTGATGAACTCCAGTCAACAACTCAAACAGCTGTATGTAAAATTTACATTTATGTGTGTGTGTGTGTGTGTGTGTGTGTGTGTACAGGTGCATGTGTGCCACAGTGTACCATGTGAAGGGTAACTGGTGGGAGTCAGTTCTCTTCTCACTGTGTGGATCCTGAACATCACGGCAGGAAACATGGCAGCAGGCAGGCCGGTATGGCACTGAAGCAGTAGCTGACGGCTCACATCTCAATCCACAAGCACCAGGCAGAGGGAGCTACCTCAGTCTCTCTCAAAGCTCGCTCCAGTGACACACCTCCTCTAACAAGGTCACACCTCCTAAGTCCTTCTCAATCAGGCCCACCAATTGCGGATTGGGCCTAAGGATCCCTTGTCATTTCACAGCTTTATTCCTTTCTTCTCTAGATGTCATCGTTAGCCACCAGGTGGCTCCCCTGAGTAAATGAAAAAGTTGTATGAATAACAAAGGAGGAAAGTTTCTTGAGCCTTTGACATCCCTTGTCACTCTCTTCCTAATTCGGGGAGGTGAGGGCAACAGGGTGCCTGTGCGGGTATGAACAGGCTGTTAATTGTGTCTGTTAATATCAGCTGGGCTTTAATCTTAGCGCTGGGGAGACTAAGGCAAGAGGATCTACATGTTGATACCGGCCAACTGAAAACAAACAAACAAACAAACAAAAAGTGTTTGTGTGTGTGTGTGTGTGTGTGTGTGTGTGTGTGTGTGTGTGTGTGTTTACTGCCCAGGCTGGCCTCAATTCTACCTCAGCCTCCGGAGCATTGGGAGGCTTCTCCCAGTACTAGTGGGTTCTTCCTGCTTCAGGCGGCGTCTCTGCAACGCTGCCCCCCTTGGGGTTGCGTATTTACTGTTTCACACAAAACACTGCATTGTCCGTTTTTTTCAACAGTTCATGAGGTTTTCAACACTGAGCCATTTTATAGATGAGAAACTGAAGATTCGAGTAAGGGTGTGTAGAGAAAGGAGGTTCGTAGGCCCGATTCTGTGCATCTTAGGGTGTTCAGGGGCGTTTGACTGTTTCTCAAGCCTCCCTCAAAAGTCACAGCATCGGACTGGATCCCCTAGGGCCAGGCGGCACTTTGGTTCTCCTCTTCTACGCCAAGAGGAAGCCGTGATCCAGGCTGCTTGTTGCGCTGAACCCTAAAGGGTTAAGTCCTGGGTGCCGCCCCTTTTCCGCCGGGCTGGCGGGTGTATGAATACCCTCGCTCCAGCTCTCAGCTGGAGTCCTCCGCTTCCGCTAGGTTAGGTCACTGTCGCCTCCTTTTTCTCCCCGCTAAAAGCTCCCTGGGCCACTCCCTTCTACAGTGCTCGCCCTCGGGGGCCAGACCAGCGACATGGAAGGTTGCGTCGGAGAGGAATCTTTCCAGATGTGGGAACTCAACCGACGCCTGGAGGCCTACCTAACCCGGGTCAAGACGCTAGAGGAGCAGAACCAGTTGCTCAGTGCGGAGCTTGGGGGACTCCGGGCGCAGTCCGGGGACACCTCCTGGCGGGCTCGAGCCGACGACGAGCTAGCAGCCCTGCGGGTCCTCGTCGAAGAGCGCTGGCGGGAGAAGCACGCGGCCGAGGTGCAGCGAGACAACCTTGCCGAAGAACTGGAGGGCGTGGCGGGCCGGTGCCAGCAGGTGCGGCTGGCTCGCGAGCGGACCTGCGAGGAGCTCGCCCGCAGCCGGCGCGCGCTCGAGGCGGAGGAGAGTGCGCGGGGCTGGCTGAGCACCCAGGCGGCAGAGCTGGAGCGCGAGTTAGAGGCTCTGCGAGCCGCGCACGAGGAAGAGCGCTCACACCTGACCGCTCAGGCAGTCTGTGCGCCGCGCCAGTCCCCCGCGCCGCCCCGCGGACCCCCTGCACGGGCCCCCGAAGTGGAGGAGCTGGCCTGGCGGCTAGGCGAAGCGTGGCGCGGGGCGGTGCGCGACTACCAGGAACGCGTGGCCCACATGGAGAGCTCGCTGGGCCAGGCCCGTGAGCGGCTGGACCGAGCCGTGAGGGGAGCTCGGGAGGGGCGCCTAGAGCTGCAGCAGCTGCAGGCTGAACGCGACAGTCTCCAGGGGCGCAGAGATGCCCTGGAACAGAGGTTGGAGGGCCGCTGGCAGGACCGGCTGCAGACCACTGAAAAGTTCCAGGTGAGGAAGGTCACCAACTCGGTTAAGACCAGGCTCTAGGAAGTGCTTGGGATGCTAAGAGGCCTTCAGGAAAGGGAGTGGGGGTAAGGGCAGGAGCAGCTGTATTCAGGAGCCCTTGCCCAGAGCAAGTACAGGCTCTAGACTTTCCTGTCCAGGCAGGGTAGGATGGAATTCTGAGACCTTGTCGCACAGTCCACTTAGAAGGCCTGCAGGCTGAGACCCACTGTAGCAACTCTTCATTCTTGGAATGGCAAGTTTCTTTCAGGCTGGTTCCCTGCGCCCTTCCCTATGTTATTATCAATCAGAAGATGCCCAGCACATGCTACCTCAGGGTCAGAAGGTCCCTAGCAACCATGATGAAAGAAGGAGGGATGAGCCACCACTGACCACCAGCTTCTGTGTCATGGCTTCTCAGCTCCCTGGAGCACATTCCAGAGGCCTGGGGGCACTCTCCCACTCATATTGCACAGATGTAACCAACAGCTGAGAAAACAGCCTCTTGCCTGGCCTGCACATGGCCACCTCCCCACTCCTCTTGGAGAAGAAAGATTCCAGAACAACACGTGGGAAGTGGAGGAACCTAGCCTGCTATATTGAGCTGGGGACAGTGATGGCCCAACTGCTTTCCTTCCAAGTCCTTCCAAGCTGATTCGATAAATTGATGGAAATAAATAAAGGAAAATTACTTTTCCTTCTGTTTCCACTTTATCCCCTCTTCCTCTCTGTAACCCATTTCCTGTCCTTTTACCCCATTCCCTCCTGTGGGAATCGGATTCTCAACATGTGCTACCATTTAATCAGCACCCTCAAGATCAGCCTGGTCTAGGAGAGGCCTGGAGTGATCCCTGTGCTGCTCTGGGGGTCCAGTCCAGTGCTCTGGGCAGGGAGGACATAGGGGCAAGGAGAGTAGTCTGCCCTACAAAGAAGTGAGCAGAAAGGGTCAGGACCCAGAGGGGAGGCCCTTTCCACTCACACTTATGGCTTGCTTTGCAGCTGACTGTGGAAGCACTGGAACAGGAGAAGCAGAACCTACAGAGCCAGATTGCTCAGGTCCTGGAAGGTGGGCAGCAGCTGGCACACCTCAAGATGTCCCTTAGTCTGGAGGTGGCTACATACAGGTACATAGCTGAACACACAGGGCTGACTCGTTGGCTGAAGGGCTCAGGAACTTGGCTATGTACTTTCCGTGACTCTCAACTATGGCTCTGTAAAAATATTTATTTTATTTATGTGTATTTGTGTATGTGCTTCATGTGTATAGGTACCCTAAGAGGCAGGAAGAGGGCATTGGGTCCCTTACAGGTGGTTAAGAGCAGCAAGCATCCCTCAGGGATGGATTATGACCTGGAAGAGTAAACTGAAATAATCCCTTTCCTTTTCAAGTTGCCTTTTGTCAGAATGTTTTTATCACAGTCACAGAACAGCAAACTAGAAAAAAAAATGTTGCTGTTTTTTTTTTTTCGAAATAAATAAAACTAGGATTTTCAAAGTTAAAAAAAAAGAACAGCAAACACTCTTAACCTCTGACCATCTGCTCAGCCCTCAGATTCACTTAAACTTTTTTTTTACATTTATTTATTTGTTTGTTTGTTTATTTATTTATGTATGTACCTATTTATGTATTTGTCTATGATGGAGGCTTCTGAGTCACAGTGATGAAACAGGTTATCCAGCTTGGCAGCTGGGACTGTTATCCACTAAGCCATCTCACTGGGCCACCTCAGCTGTCACTTTCATACCTAGACTTCCACCTGAGCCTCCTAAAGAGACAACTCAGTCTTCAGGGAGGGATCAGAGGTTACAGGCACCTGCAGATGACTTCTCTCAAAGACAGGCAACCTCCAGTTTCTGTGCAAACATCCTGGGTACACCTGGGCAGTCTCAGGAAAGAGAGTTTGCAGGTGTGCCTGATCATGTGGACCTGACCTGGGCCTCAGCTGTGTCTAGGGTAAAAGCTGATCTGAGTTCCCAGCCTTCTGTTTCCTTTCAAGCTCCAGTGTCACTCACTGGCTCTGCCCAGCTCCCTGCCCTTTTTCTGGTTATTTCAGAAAGACCTAGTGGAACCGTTCTGGTTGTATAGCCTCTGCATATAGCCTGTGTCTCTTGTGAGAAAAGGCCGATGCCGAGGGCGGAGGATATCACTCCAGAGTATGGGGTCAGGACAGGATATCCCTCTTCTCCAGAATCCACTGGCATGAGCTAGGTGTAGGAGAGGAGCAGGAAGTAGGGCCCAGAGAAGGAAAGCCAGTCTGGGAGCCAGTCTAAGAAGGATGAGGCAAAGGCTTCGGGAGGACAGAAGAAAAGCTGCAAATGTGAGCACCAAATGTGTTCAGAGGTCATGAGCAAAAACTAGAGACTAGTTCAGAATCCCCTTTGAATTAATTTTTCTTGTCTCCTCCAATGAGCTCCATAGGCCCCTGAGGCAGGAGCATGAATCGAAAGACCTGTGTCCTGAAGGGTTTGCAATCCTAAAATGAGGGCCTTACCCCCAGTCAAGCCTCTTGGGGAAAAGGTCCACGCAGCGCTGAGGAATGTAACCCTCTGGGGTCTGAGGTTTGAAAAGGATTTGGAGAGGGGAGCGGAATTCATCTGCTTTTGTCTGTCGTCAGCTCTGGGGGCAGAGGAGGGAGCCATCCCATGGGAACAGCCTGAGAATTCCCACTTCCCCTGAGGAGCCCCTCCCTTCTCCGGCCCTCCAGAGGGTAGTGTGGACAAAAGGCAAAATTAGCATGATAATCAGCCTCCCTCCCGGAGGATGAGGTCATCGGCCTTGGCCTTGGGTGGGGAGGCGGAGATTGATCTAAGGCGTCTGATCTAAAAAGTGTTCTTTTGGCTCTGCATCTGACTGTGGGAATCTGCATGTGAGGTCCCCCTGTGTCTCAGCTATGGCTGTGACCAAGTATATGATGTTTGTGGGCATATGACTGTGTGGCTTTCGTAAGACAATAGTCATAGTAAAGAGTGAGCCTGCAGTGTCAGGACTTGCAGCCTCAGTTGGGGCTAATCCCATTTTTTTCCTCTCCCCTCTAGGACTCTGCTGGAGGCTGAGAACTCCCGGTTGCAGACACCTGGTCGAAGTTCCCAGGCTTTCCTTGGCTTTCAGGGTAAGAAGTGGGGCCAGCTGCTCCTGGAAGCTCTACCCTTTTCTCTTGGAAGTTGTTTCCTAAGCAGCACCAATCTAAGTCTTCACTCCCTGGCCCCCACTGCACCAGTGTTCCCAGTCTAGCCAGCAGGGAGTCAGACAAAATGGCTGGTGTAGTCTGGCCAGTGTGAGGGCTGCTCTCTGGTGAGGTCAGGGCATACTTACAATGTTTCCTGCTCTGCTTTTCCAGACCCCAAGCTGAAGCTGCATTTCCTTGGGACACCAGAGAACCAGCACCTAGGATCTGTGCTCCCTGTCCTCAGCCCTACATCCCTCCATTCCCCCTTGCCTGATACCCTTGAGACTCCTGTGACAGCCTTTCTGAAGACCCAGGAATTCCTTCAGGCCCAAACCCCAACCTTGGCCAGCACTCCCATCCCACTCATGTCTGAGGCTCCTTGTCCTTCTAAAAATGCAGAGATCAGAGCCCAGGATGGTCCTCTTTCTCTGCTCCAGACACAGGGTGGGAGGCAACAGGCTCTAGAGCCTCTCTGTGCTGAAGTCACAGTGCCTATTTCTACTGAAGGCCCCTCAGAACTAGAGGAGCCTGGGGGCAAACAGCCCGGCCACTTCCCTGAGGATCCAGCCTCCTTGGCCCCATCCCTCAACCCTCACCACCCTATTTTAGAGGATAAAGATGGAGAATTCAGTGAGTCTAGAGTATCTAGCATGTTCCAGGAAAATGAAGGGCAAATCTGGGAGCTAGGAGAGAAAGAAGCAGCCATAGAGGCAAAAGCAGAAAACAGCTTAGCACAGGAAACACAAAAAGGTGGTCTGGACACTGAAGAAATCCAGGATTCTCAGGGTCCTTTGCAAAAGGAAACGATGGAGGCTGTAGGAGAGAAGCCATTGATGCATCTGAAAACCCAGAGCCATGAGACACAAGGGAAGGAGAATTGCAGGTCTCTGAGGTCTGTAGAAAAGAACCTGGAAACACTAAAAAGCCCAGAAAAAGAAAAACAAACACTACTGAAGTCTCTAGAAGAAAAGGATGTAGAGGCAGAGAAAACTCTAGAAAATGGGGTTTCTGAACTATCTAAGCCTTTAGAAAAAGAAGTTGCAAGAATCAGGGATCAAGAATTAATGTCTCCTGAAGGTAAACTGGAGACAGTTTCGTTTGTAGGAAAGGAAAATCAAGAAGTAGTGAAGTCTTCAGAAGAGGGGGACTTAGAGTTGTTGACAGCCTTTAAAAAGGATAACCAGCATCCACTGGGGGGTCCAGAAGAAGAGGACCCAGTGTTTGAGAGAGCTATAAAACCAGAGGACCAGGAGTCCCTGAGGTCTCTAGAAGAGGAGGACCAGGAGGCATTTAAAACTCTGGAGAAAGAGAATCTGGAGCCATTAAGATTTGAAGAAGCAAAAGACCAGATGATTGAGAGACTGGTAGAAAAAGAGGATCAGAAGTTCCTGAGGTCTCTAGAAGAGGAGGACCAGAGGATTGTGAAACCTCTAGAAAAGGAGAATCGGGAATCTCTGAGGTCTCTTGATGAAAACCAGGAGACCATTATGCCACCAGAAAACATGAACCAGAGGCTACTGAGAGCTCTAGAAATAGAAAAGGAGGAGCAGAAAATTGTGAAACCTCTAGAAAAAGTGAGTCAGGACTCCCTTGGGTCTCTAGAAAAAGAGAGTGTGGAGCCACTGAAATTTCTAGAAGATGACCAGGTGATTGAGAACCTGTTAGCAAAAGAGACTCATGAGTCCCTGGGGTCCATTGAAGATAGAAACCAGGAGACTGTTGCACAACTAGAACTTGAGACCCAGGATTCACTGAGGTCTCTAGAAGAGGAGGACCAGAGGATTGTGAAACATCTAGAAAAAGAAAACCGGGAGTTCCAAAGGTCTCTAGAAGAGGAAGAACAGATGACTGAGAGATCTCTGGAAAGAGAGAACCATGAACCACTGAGTTCTGTAGAAAAAAAGGACCAGATGATTGAGAACCTGCTAGAAAAAAAGAGTCAGGACTCAGTGAAGTCTATTGAAGATGAGAACCAGGAGACTTTCAAGTCTCTGGGAAATCCAGAGTCAGGACAGGACCAAGAGATACAGAGACTTGAACAAGAGACTCATCAGACACCAAGGGCTGAGGAGGTTGACCAGATGGCAACCAGACCACTGGAAAAGGTGGATTCAGAGTTACTGAAGCCTCTTGGGAATGACAAGGAAATAGTTGGATCTCTTGAAAAAGAGATTCAAGAGTCACTTGTGTCACTGAAAGAAAGAAGTATGGAGCCAGTGAAGTCTTCAAAAACAGAGAACACAGAACCATTGAAGAATGTACAAGAGGATTTGGAAATAATGAACTCTATAGAAGATCAAGAGCCATTGTGGTCTACAGAAGTGACTAGAGAGACAATGAAACCTCTAGAAAATGAAATTCAAGAATTACTGGGGTATGTGGATGAGAACCAAGAGACACTGAGACCCCTTGAAAGGGAGAATCAAAAACTGAGATCTCTGGGCAAGTGGGACCCAGAGACTGTGGAGTCTCCAGAAGGGATAGAGGAGAGACAGCAGCACCTGGAAGGGGAAGAATGCCTAGAGATGGAAGAGCACCAAGAATCACTGAGGTCTCTGGGAGAGGTGGGGCCACTGTCTGGGTCTGGAAATCAACACCAACAACAAAGGTGGGAGGATGTGGTGGTGGAGAATGGAGCAGTGGGTCAGGACCCACCTCTGGGTAAAACAGGAATAGAAAGTGAGGATGAGGCAGAGCTATGTCTGAGTGGGCAAGATGATAAGGAAGAAGCTGCAGAGGAAAGGAAGCTGCAGCAAGACATTGTGAGGGAGGCCTCAAGTCTGGGGAGCTCTGAGCTGGAGGAGCAGAGGGTTCCTGCTGAGGAAGGTAACAGAAAGAGCAATGCTGAGGCCCTGGAGGGACAACCAGAGCAGATGGGGGCCGTAGAAGTCCTAGTTACTCAGGGAATGCTGGAGGTGGCAGAGCAAGATGAGGATATAGCCCAAGCAGGTGAACAAGACTCCAGAAAAGTGACTCTGGGATTAGAGGCTGCTGCTACCGGAGGACTGGGACTGGAGCAGGAAGTGGTAGAGCTAGAGGACCCAAGGCATCTTGCCAGTGACCTATCCCTGGGGGAGGAAAGTGTGAAGGCAAAGATAGCTCAGGGCTTGGAAAGGCCTGGAAAAGAACCAAAGGAAGCAGGTGCTCTGGAATCAGAGATCCTCAAATTGCCCAAGACTAACAGTGCTGCTCTGGAACCCAAGGGCTGCAAAGAGGCAGAGCCTGCGGTGGGCTGGAGAGTAGAGGAGGCCTCAGTGAAGACCTCAGACCATGAAGGCACTGATGTCCCTCAGCCCAGGTCCCCAGAGACAGAGGAAGATGAGGGCACACAGGCAGCACTGATAACCCCTGGCCCCAAGCTTATGGAACCCTGTTTGCCCATCCAGGTCCTGAAAGATGACTATGAGCAGCATCCCCAGGCTGAGGGGACCCAGGAGACTGGGTGGCAGCTAGAAGGTGGGTGTGAAGCACTGGAAAGGGCAGATGATGGTCAGGAGTTTGGTCTTGGGGAGATCCCTGAAGGCCTCCGGGACTGGGAGGAGAATAGAGAAGAAAGTGAGGCTGATGAGCTAGGGGAAACTCTCCCTGACTCTACTCCCCTGGGTCTCTACCTGAGGTCCCCTGCCTCCCCAAAGTGGGACCTGGCTGGGGAGCAGAGGCTCTCCCCTCAAGGGGAGGCCAGGAAGGAAGGCTGGAGTCCTGCTGTCCTGGTTACTCAGGGCCTCAGCAACCCACCAGAGGAGGAGCAAGGCCATGACTCTGAGCTGTCATCTGAGGAATTTGAGGACCTGGCAGCTGAGGCCTCTCTTCTTCCAGGGGTTTCCAAGGAGGTGGCAGATGATCTGGGCCAGGTGCCCCCAGTACTGGATCCAACATGCTGGGATCAGGGTGAGGAGTCTGATGGATTTGCTGATGAGGAAGAGAGTGGGGAGGAGGGAGAGGAAGAAGAGCATGAGGAAGGAGCAGAGTCAGGGACTCAGTGGTGGGGGCCAGGGACCTCTGGTGGCAGCTTCAAGGTCCAGGATATCACCCAAAGAAGGGACCTGGGACATGAATCTGTGGGTGTCAGTGGTCCCTGGCATGATGGCTTGAGGGGTGCTGCAGCTAACATCCCTCCGCCTGCCCTTGAGACTGTGTCTCAAGACAGTGCTGAGTCTTCTGGGTCAGAAGGGTCTGAGTCTATTTCCTTGGAGGGGGAGGATAAAGTGCCCGACCATTGGGGTGCCCCCCAAGAGATGACTGGCATGGTCCCAGGGGCAGGAGATAATTTTGATGCCAGTGGCCAGGGCCCCAACCTGGAGTCAGAGCATGTGAATGGGAGGATGGAGAATGGACTAGAGCAGTGTGAGGAACAGGGGCTTCTGGGTGGGGAGCAGGATCAAGGACTCCCTTTACAGGAATTGGAGGTGGGTAGCCTAAAGGCCCCCTTGGTAGGGTCTCCTGTGCACCTAGGCCCAAGCCAGTCCCTGGAGTTCCCTCTGAGTGGAGCTGATGGAGATTCCTGGTCCTCAGAGGAAGACTAGGGAATGCTTCTCTGACACTGAGGACTTAATGGGGGATGTTCTTCCCTGCTCTGGGCCCTCACTCTTAGCTTTGATAACTTGACCTGTGGTGTTTGTCCTGGAGAGGTATGGCTGGATGAGCAAGATGAGATCCTACTTGTACCATCCTGAAGGGTTTATTTATGTCAGCTGAACCCCTGTAGTTCTAGACCCCCTTTCTTCTATGGCTCACATGCTGGAAGAGGCCTGGGCCTAGAGCTTTTCCCATGAGGCTTTTCTGGCTCGATAGCTCTGTCTACAATAGTGCCACCCCCACAAGGTCTGGCCTAGCCTGTGCCCAGAGGAGCTGAGGGCAGCAAATATGACCAACCCCTTGTCTCATTTCAGCCTGCTGAGATCTTGTTTTGCTCTTTCTTGCTTGAATAAAGTTGTATTCCCACTTACAAAGTCTGGCTGCTTTCTTCTAGCCTTCAGGGGATCCCCCTGGTTGAGAAGCACTGGAGTGGAGGGACTGGGAGAGGAAGCAGAAGCCAGGCCTGGAGGGGCTGCCTCTTGGAGAGGCCAGGTTGTCATCTGTGCCCACAGCACTGATTACAGGGTCCTCTCTCCTGAATGTCCTAAGTAAGGCCTTAGTGTCTCCAGCATAATTAGCCCCCTGGTTACCAAACCCAAACAGTTGTCTCGCCTCTGATGACTGACTGGGTTGGAGTAGGAGGAGGGAGGAGAGAGGCCTCACCTGTGCAGTCTCAGGTCAACAGTTACTTTCTCTGAATTTTAAACTCAGCCACACACATGGGGAAGCTGGACTGCCCTATGCTTTGGGTGGTCACCTGGGGCTGGGAGAACAGGGGAGAGGCCAGGGGAAGCCTTTGCAGTCAGTAACTGAGGTCTGCCATGGCACTTTCCATACATGCTGAAGCAGGAGACAGGGAAGAAAGGATAGCAGGGCCAGCGGAATGTGAGGGAGCTGCCAGGTGAGAGCTTGGTGTTGTGTGCAGTGTGCCGCTGTGCAGTGTTAGGGGTGCTAGGTCCTGCCTGAAGGCTTCTCTCCCAACATCTGTACAGGGCATGCAGATGCCAGAGGTTCCTAGATTTAGGTGCCCACAGACCTCTGTGGGGAAGGGATAGGCTGGCCCACACATGGAGGCCATCACAAGCCAAGAGCAGGTTCCTTCTCTTTTTAGGATTGAGAGTTCCCAAAGAGGGTAGACAAGGGATGTCCTAGCCAACTGGCACTGTGGGCTCCTATGTACACACCCTTCATATCTGTTCTGGGGCCCATTTCATCCACACCCTTGCCCCTGGGGTTCAGGATCCTGTTTCTCCTTCTCCACCCTCCTGGCAGCCCAAGCCTCCGCTCTCTTCTTCCTGTACACTAATAACAAGTCCCTCCTGTGTTGTTTGTCAGCTGACAGGCAGAGACCAGCATGTTGGCATCAGGGAGGCAAAGCCTGCCCCTTTAATGGGACAAGACATCCTGTGCTTCCTCTCTTTAGGCCCTTGGTTACCACTGCTTGGGTGAACACCAAGAACAGAGCTAACAGAGCTCTGCCCTGTAGTGGATCCCCATCCTTCATTCTCACGAGCCTGTGGTCCTCCATAGTTAACCCAGGTGGCCACTGCCTACAGTGCAGGATGTAAGTGAGGAGTTAGAAGTAAGTTGGATGTGAGTTAGAAGTGAGGACTTCCCTAAGGGTATAAACAGGAGGTATGGTAAGTATGGAAATGACCCTATGTCCAAACAGAGAAGCAAGAGCTGGACAGTGACAGGATCACCCCTGGTTGTGATCATCAGTGTGGTTGTCATTTTGCTGGCCATCCACACAGTGCAGGCTCTGGGAATGCTGACAACTTATAACACTGCTCTTTGCACAGGAGGCTTTAACTGCTCCTGCGCAAAGGCCGTCAAGTTGAAATTGTCTCTGGAGACAGATGCATGCTGTGTAGGGGTGCAGAGCAGGGCAGGCTGCTCTGAGTGGCCACTGCTGGGGAGGGATTTCTTGGTGTGTGTGAAACAGCAGGGCCTAGGGCAGAAGAGATCTGGGGCAGTGAGAGACAGAAAGCAGGCAGAGTGGTGGGAGGGAAGCAGGCCTTGGGGAGATCGCAGGAGACCTTGGCAGGAGGCATGAACTTCTGAAGGGTTTATGCACAGGTGCTGCTGCCAGGACTTCCAGGTTCCCTGAGAACAGGCTGAGCAGAACAGCCTGGAGTCAGCCAGGGGTGCAGGTGCAGATCAAGGTGCAGGAGGGGAGAGTAGGAGATGAGGGAGCAAAGTGAACTCTTGGGAGCTGTGTGGGAGACAGGAGCACAGGACAGCAGACAGCTGTCCCATGGCTGCATGCAAGCTTCTAGACATGCCAAATCCAACAGAGAATCAAGCAGAGAACCAACTGCCTGAGCAGGAGCCTTAGGACAGGGCAGAGTATGCTTGGGACTCAGGAGAGAGGACCAAGTAGAGACAAGAGCTGGAATCTCAGTAGAGAACAGGATAGAGGAGAGGCTCACAGAGACCTGGGAACTCCCAGAAGGCTGACAAAGTAGCTCAAGAGGAGACAAAAAACAAATAAAAACAAACAAACAAACAAACAACCCCGGCAAGTCCTCTCAGAAGGCTCTGGCATTACACCATTTCAAGGAAGCAAGGACTGACTGTCTCTGACATGAACTCAGTGGCAGGCTCTTTGACCCCTCCCACCAAATGGGGAGCAGCCTTCCCAGGCTACAGGGAGGACAATGCAGCCAGTCTTGATGAGAAGGGGAAGATGGAAGGGGAAGAGGACCTTCCCTATTAGTGGACTTGGAGAGGGGAATGGGAGGAGATGAGGGAGGGAAGGTGGGATTGGGAGGGAGTGAGGGAGGGAGCTACAGCCCAGATACAAAGTGAATAAACTGTAATTAATATAAAAAAATTAAAAAAAGAAAAAGGAAGCAAGGAACTGGTTGGTGCCTGGAAGTCTCCCTTGAGTAAAGAGTGAATGAGTGACAACCAGACACACTTCTGAGGGTGGAGTCCCCACAGAAATGAGGAGGGGAAAGAGAGGAAACATTCCTCAACGTACACACAGCATGAGACAGTGGAAGGTTATTCTGGAACCTCCTCTGGTAAATATAGCCTCTGAGCTAGCCAGAGACAGGCTGGGGCTGGGGGGGGGGCAGCGGAGGTGGCTTCCTCAGTTTGTTTGGGGTACTTCCTTATAAGGCTGAGTAGGCTGAGGCGCCTCCAATGGTGAGGTCAGGGGCAGAGGCTCCCTCTAGCCCAGCCTGATGGTGTGCCTGTAGCTGCCAAAGTCTCAAAGGAAATCAAAGTCTAGGCTTTGTGCTACAGTCAAAGGCCCTCCGGCTCGGAGTGTGGCCTCTTAAAGCATTCCCTCTGCCTTCCTGCTGTGGGCACCCATCCTGGGTGGGACTCTCAGAAGATGATCTTGGGTCCCTCAATACCCCAGAGCCTGGGCTTTCCACCTGTAAGATACTGGGTGAATGGAATCCTTCTTTGAGACTCTAAACAGTTCTGACACAAATGACATCACCCTCAACCCCACAGTGCTCAGCCTCTAGGTCAAAGAAACAGGATTTATTAACTGTCTGAAAGAAAACCCCCCTCTCATTCTTCTGCTGCCCACAGCCCACACCCCGGCCTCACCCTGGCACACCAGCTGCTGCCACTTGACCTGTACTGTTGCAGCTGCTGTCAGCCATGCTATCCTCTCTGGTGGGGGACAAAGGAATGCGATTTCATTTTGTCTGGAATGTGCTGTCTGTACTCCTTGTAGAGGAGGAGCTCATTCAGCCCAGAAAACCAAAGATGGCTTAGGGACAGCCCCCAAGTTCCTACTGTATGCCATTCCACCTCTCAGGGGAGGGCTGAATTCTAGGATGGGCACAACAGCAGGATGGTTGGAAGTTAGAGTTGAGCCCTCCTGGGAGGAGAGAGAAGAGCATTTTTCTCTCTGGTTCAGATAGTGAAAAAAGTCTGCCAGCATCTGTCCCTGAGCCCACAAGGTCACCTTAGAACCACACTGGAGCATGAAGCTGCCTTAGAACCATGGACAATGGTTCAGGTGGAGAGCAGAAGCGGGGTGAGGCCCCCAGCAGTCTGCTTTGACAGACAATGGAAATGGTGTTTGCTCTTCTAGCTTCCCTGCTTCCTTCACCCTGAACCCCCTCATCCCACCTTCTAACTCAACACCCACACAACTAGCATCTGCCAGCATGTCAGGGGTGATAGACCTGCCACTAGTCTCAGCCCTTTCCAGGCCAGGTGCCCAGGGGCTCCAATTCCAATGCCCCTCTTGTAATCTAACTGCCATTCTGCATATCTTGTCCTCAAAGGATGGGGCTCAGGTGTCTGAACCCCAGGTTCTGGCACCCTCTTCTCTCTCAGAGTCTCCTCCTTCAGTCATAAACTCCCTTCCCCAGCTCCATCCTACCTCCCCACCCTTATTACTCAGCTGTGGCTCCATAAATAAACTGAGGCAGGTGCCAGGAGGCCTCTGTCGAGGAACCCCCTTCCCTGCAGCTGTGGGCTCAGCTGCTCACAATCCACTGGCCCTGGGCCCCAGGAGGGGTGCCTCCCTAGGAGACTCCTGGATTCTCTAGGGCTCTATATTCCCACTAATAGAAGTCTCCCTCAGCACTCAGGGATCCCTTCAACTCCCCTGCCTCTTAGCTCTTTCCCCTCCTCCCTAGCCTTCCAGAATTGCTGTCTCTCCAGAATTTCTCTGATTGTTCCTTAGAGGGAACTTCATCTGACTCTAATGGGAGAAACTGAGGTACAGAGTGATGCATCTTGTCAATGATGTAGTGTCTCTAGATGCCACTTGGGGTCAGCAGAACATGGGCTAGAGAACTTTGGGCTGCTTTATGTTGGGTATTAAATATGAGTAATATTTAATTCTAGTCTTCAGTGGTCAGCAGCTTTCTCTGTTAACAACCCACTTAAGTACCAGGCCATCTGGGTAGCCAGAGTCTTAGTGTCTACCCACTTAGCCTATTGCCTGAGCTATTGGTTTAGTGGGAGAGCGTCCAAATGTTCTACCTTTTTCTCTTTCCCAGCCTTTCCTCCTGCTGTGTCCCTGAACTTTTTCAGTTCTTCTGCCTAGGAGGAAGCTAGCTATTTTGCAGCAAGCCAAATAGAAGCCAGCCCTCAGGAAGGCCCTCCATCTGGGTAAGGGAAAACCAGTTGCATCAGGTCCTGACAGAGGGGGAACCTGAGCAGGCGCTCAGGGTCAGGATCTGACTACAGAGCCTGAAAAAGATCTCTGACAGGCGGTGCATTTTTAGAAGTCTTTGGGAACTGCTAAGTCACTGTGGACACTAGGACAATAGGACCCTTTCTCTCCCCATTCAGGAGTCAGGCCCATAGACAGGGCCTCAGGGCTGGGACAAAGGCCCCAGTGAGGTTGGGGCAGTGCAGTGGGAGGCAAGGGTATGCTGAAGAACTGGGAGGTGGAATGTGTCAGGGTACCCAGAGGCTTCCACACCCCTGGGCAATGCTCTAGCCCCTATCTGTCCCAGGGTGGGTCTCTCTTTTCCAATACCTCCCAGTCCTGGGTGGGTGGGGGGGACAAGACACCCTGTTGGGACGAGGCTGAGAGCTGGGCCACACAGTTAGGGTCCTGACAGCATGGCAGCTGGCAGTGGTGACCAGAGGTGGGGCTTTGTTCCATCTCTCCAAAGAGGTATGCTGGTGCTCCATATGTGACCTCTTCTGAGGAACTGGAGAACTACCTTCTGGTCAGGTCATCAAGGACATCCCCCCTTTCCCCCCCCCCCATCTTCCCCAGGAAGCATAACCAAGCCAGAAGGAGGCTTCCTGTTTGCTTCCCTGCCAGAGAGGCTCAGCAGGTGGTGGAGGATTCTGGTTCTAGTCCTCCATCTACTTCTGGAGCTCTCCTCACCCACAGAGGAGAGAATGGTGGGAGACTTGATGAGAACTTTGGACAGAGGGCTTGGAAGCCCAGGGTGCCACAAAGCCAGCATACTATCTAGACTTTGCCTCAGTGAGTTCTGAACCCAAAGGTTAGACATTGCCTCCTCTCTAGCCTGCTCCTTTTCAGGTTCCATCATCCTGGGTCTTCATCCACTCACAGTTCCAGCTAAATGCCTTGACAACTCCCAAAATACATTGAATGAGCAGCCGAAAGCTGATACAGAATAAAGCAGGATCCACTCTTCTCAGTAGAGCCTTAAAACCCAGTTTCCAGTCTCTGGCCATTCAGTTATTGGAAAAGAGAGACCCACTCTGAGCAACAGGTAGGGGCTTGAGCATCAGGGCTTGAGCCTGTGTGGGCAGGCAGGTGAGGCCAGGCCTGGAGGAAGGAAGGCGATGGTGAAGTGCCTTCTTAGGGAAGAAGGACCAGGGGAGCCTCCATCTGGGACTCCGTGTTCTCTGTCTGTCTCCTTGTCATTTGGTTTTTTTCCATGTCGGCTGGTGGGTTAATGGGCACAAGGTGTGCGTCCACATGATCCTCAAGGCTGAGTGAGCCACAGGTAAGGATCTGCAGCCATAATTTGCCTTCATCAGACCTGCACTCCAGCCAATGCAAGGCTGCACTGAGTAGCCCATGGAGCTCTGCCTGATTCAGGCATAGGTCATCCACTTCCTAGCTTGCAGTGACCTCATCATTTCAACCTCCGCTGATTCAACCCGCGCCAGCCCCGTCTGGCCGGCCGGAAGTCCTGTTCTCTCCGCACCTAACTGTCCGGCGCTCCTGCCAATTCCCGCAGGTCAGAAAGGGCATCGCGCCCCCTGGTGGCCTTCCCGTCCCTCTCTCGTCTGTGTCTTTTTCGCCTTCTAGAGCCACATATCTGTATCCATAGCGCCCTCCACTGGTCGCAGCCTGTGAGACCCTTGGTGTGGTAGAGGAGTCCAGTCAGTCCTTAGCTTGTTTTAAAATTTCTCTGCCTGCACTGCTTCTTGGTCCGGTCCGTTGCTACCCAGCCTTTCCTTCAGCACTCTCGGAAGCTCAAAATGAAGCCACCAGGGGCCCCTCTCCTCAGACCCGGCGAATCCTCAACCGGCTGGGCAGCTCTTTTACACCAGGCATTGCTCTATTCACCAACTTCTTGGTGACTTCTCTAACCTTTTGCACGCTAATAATCGCAGCTGCTCTACTCAAACCTACTTTCAGATATTCTGCCCAACACTGATTAAATGTTCGCACGCACACAGAAGCATCAAATTTGCTTGGGTTTAAACAACTTTATTTCCATCTGGTTTTGCTGGCCCTCCGCCCTGCAAACCTGTAGAAAATCAAGAATGAGTAGCAGTGTCCCCAAAAGAAATTGAAGGACAAAGACACAGCTGACATGAGAGGACAGTTGAGGCACTTAGGAACTTACCCGTTGTCCTGAGGGTAAAACCTGAGGCCCATGTATGGGGTGGGTTGGGTGGGGTGGGACGAGACAGGGCCTAGGCTGGGCGAGCCACTCAAGTGTTTCCCAGAAACCCCTTCAGGCACTGTTCTTTGAATTCCAGTCCCACCTCCCTCAAGTCACTCCATGTAATGGGAAGAGCATAGGCAGTTGAAGTGAGAGGGCCTTGCTGAGGGCAGCCTTGTTCCAGGCCTACTTCCTAGAGACTGAAGAGAGATGCCTTCCCATGCTTCCAGAACTGTCCCCGTGATCCTTCTGCACTGAGCGCTGAGCACGGGCCTAAGGAAGACACACATACTCATCCTCCACCCTGCACTCCTCAGTTTCCACAGCAACCTGGGTCCTTGCTACTTAACCCCCGACCTTATCGAAATACTTGCCCTGCCCTTAGGGGCCCAAGTATGGTTGCATGTTCTCAGCCATCTGCACCTAAAGGGTCTCTAGAGCTCCAGCCCACTTCCTTCTATTAACCTCAGAGAGAGGCAGTGGTCAACAAGCTCACACAGTCAGTGAATGACAGGCAGAATAGGTCTTGAGCCCAAGGCTTCCAAATAGCTGGTTGCCTCCACCTGTTTCCTCCTGTCACTCACAGGCCTTCGGGGCACACAGGAAATCTGAGGGGCCTCCCAAAGCCCATTCTCCTGACAGCGGATCATCGGCAGGTTGCGCTGGACCAGTCCCTCTCGGCACCGATATCGAAGCACAGTGTCCACTGCATAGCGAAGCCGAGGGCGACCAAATATTTGAGCCAGGGGCAGCTGTGGTGGAGGCCCACAGGACACTACAAGGAGCACACAATTTGAAGTTGAGAGCCTGGCTTTGTAGATGATGGTTCCCAGAAACTTGATGGGGGAGGAAAGAAGTGGCTACTACTGAAAAAAAATTGGGGGTTCTGAGTGGACAACTGTAATGTATTATCCCCCCATGGTCTGGTTCACAGGCTCTTCTCAGTAGCTTTGCTCTCCTTTTATAAGTGGCAGTCCCAGCCACCCTTCCCCCGTCAGCCCTCACCAAGCCCCATCTTGCAGGTGTAGGATAGATGGTAGTTGCAGGGCACATCGCTCCACTGTCCCTGGTCATGCCACACCATGACCACACAGTCCTCCCCAGACAGGAAGTAGCTGTCAGGCTGCCCAGGGTTCCAGTTTTCATAAAGCTGGGAATCGGGAGTGGAGGATGTGGTGAGAAGCGTGAAACCCGTAAGTACAAGGAGGAATGCCCTCAGAGAGCTGAAAGGGGGACTTGGGGGTACCCCAGGGTATGGAAGGGCAGGAGTCGGGTAGTTGGAACAAACAGGGAGGGGAAATAAGAGGACAGAGACTTTTCAGGAAGGTGACAAGAGCCAGAGATGAGACAGCACAAAGAAAGGGTCCAGGGGAATGATGGGGACAAAGGGACAGAAAAGGAGGAAAAGACAGTGACTGTTACTGAGGGCAGAAAGGTTTTCAGGAAGTGACCTAGACTACAGTGCAGTAAGAGTACTCACCAGAGGGGCACCATCTGACCACAAGAAATCTCCCTCGATGGTCCTGTCATTGAGCCCAATCCACTGGTACTCACGGTAGCGATCTGAGGAGAAAAGCCGAAGGTGCAGTGAGCAGTGAGCCCTGTGTTCCTGGGCCAGTGATTGACCTTTGGATGGGGAGCCCATCCAAAAACCTTCTCCCCAAATCTTGCTGACTTGTAGCTGCTGGCTCAGGAACAGCCAGGAAAGCAAACAAGGATGGACTGCATTCATCTCCCTTTTCTCTCTCTTTCTCTCTTTTTTTTTTCCTACCAGGTAAGAGAATTATATTTAATATCATAAAGGCTCTTCTTAAATTCTTTCCTTATGAAAGTTTTAAAATATCGTTTTATGCATATGGATATTTCACCTGCATATGTGTCTATGTACCACTTGTGTGCGGTGTCCTCAGAGGCCAGGGGACATTAGATTCCCTGGAACTGGAGTTAAAGATGGTTGTGAGCTGTCATGTGGGAGCTAAGAATTAAACCCTGGGTCCTTCAGAAAAACAGCCAGTGCGCTTAGCTAATGGGCCATCTCTCTAGCCTGTCTCCCTACTTTCTTAGTAACCTCTACACCCACGAATGCCAGGGTGTGCGGGTAGAGAATAGCACTTGGGAGGGGAAAGAAGAGAAAACCTTGCACTACAGAGTTAGGGAAGCAGATGTGCCTGGGAAAACAGGGAGCCCAGCAACCTAGACAGCCTCGCAAATGTAGGACACTAGGGAGCCCAATCACCCCACAGCAGGCCCCTCAGTGAGAGGCAAAGGGAGTGAGGGAAGGGAAAGAGGAAGTGAGAGAGGAGTGAGTGAAAGAGAGAGGACTGAGAAAGGAATGAGGGAGGAAGGAGTGGGTGAGGACAAAGTGAGTGAGAAAGAAGTGGGGGGAGGGAGGAATGAGTGGGAAAGAAGTAGGTGAGGAAGGAGTGAGGAGTGGGTTTGCTGTGGAGCATGCTCAGGAAGCCAGGCTCCACCCACCGTTGACGAAGTCCTGTTCCTCAGGGGTGCAGATACTGGTCAGATGAGCACCTAGCGCTCGGCACTGGCTTTCCGCCTCCTCCCAACTCCTTCGTGTGGAAAAATGCTTGTAGCAGGCACCCTGGAAGGCCTCCCAGCCAGGGCTGCAGAAGTGGAGGCCTGGGGCACAGGGGAGGGAGTGTCTTAGGCTGCCAGGTCTCAGATTGGCTTCTTCAGCTTCTTCGATTGCTGGCTAGCATAGGAGGGGAGGGGTCAGAGCCACTCTAGTACAGCCAGAAGTTCTAGCCTGGAGGGCTCTTGGGCAGTGGTTAGGTCAGCTAGCTCTCCAGCCCTGGCCTGTGCAGTCCTCCATGTGGAAGACAGGATGGCAACAGTAAGGTTCAGATCAGCTATGTAACTTGGCTGAATGGCACTTCATTCATGGCAAGGCCCAAACCAGTGACCTCCACCACCCTGGGAACTAGTATATTGGAGTAGGGTCCAGCTTTTGATGGGCCCCTATGCCCCTCAACACACTCACCAACATCGCACAGGTCCCCCCCATAGCCTGGCAAACACAGGCAACGGAAACCCTCCTTCTGCTCCAAGCATGTCCCACCATTGTGGCAGGGGCTGGGGATACAGTCACCTGACAGGGGAGAGAAGTGGGTGGAGGAGCATAAGGGTGAGCTGTGCAGACAGAGCTCTTCTAGGGAGGATCCTGGGTCACCCAGCCTAGACACCTTCCAGCCCTTGCTACAGCTCATCCCCAAGTTCCACGCTTCTTTCCTCACTCTCACCTCTCAGTTCATCACTGGCTCATGCTCTGTGTGAGCACTGATCTGCTGATGGGAAGAGGCCAAGAAAGGGGAGAAGTACTAGACTGTTGATTATGAGACGTGGATTACTGCCAGTCTCAGGTTGGGCAACCCACCTGCATCCTCCAACCTTCTCTCTGGGCCCTGCCTAGGTGTTGGAGGAGCTGTCAGCATCTACTCTGTCTGGTCCACATGACCAGAGAAAATGGCTTCTTTAACCAACAGAGCAGACCAGATTCCTTAGAATGATTCCCTGCCAGCATCAGCTGAGAAAAAGGCCCACAGTGCTTCCTGCTGGCATCAGCAGGGGAGGGGGAAGAAGAAGCTGCGCCTGATTTAATTTGCTGGGATGAGCATCCCTCCTCACTTCTCCCTCAGCCAACAGTTTCCCAAATAAGGAAAAGTTTGGTCTGAGGTGATGAAGGGGAGAGTCCTGAGCTCCTTGAAGTCCTCATACTTTCTGCTTCTCCAGTCTCCTCTCCTTCCTAAGCAGCCCTCTAACCCTAGGAGAGAGACTCTTAAGCTTGGTCCTTAGTCCCCCTGTCCTCTAGAACATAAGTCTCAACCTGGCTGTGGAGTACAGGGCCTGGAACTTGGCTGGGTAGTGCAGGGTGAAGGATCTTCCTTTGGGTTTTGCTTTCTCCTTTTCTACCACACAGAGCCAGAAAGTATTTCTTTCCTACCTCCCTCCTGGCAGTAGGCCAGAGGGCCTCTGGCTCTCTCTACATGTGGGCTAACACTACAGTGACCTCTAGGGATGCCCCCTTTTCCACTGCACCCACTCTAAGGCAGAAAGGCAACAGCTTGAAATGGGTGAACTGATGATGATGTAGAGGTTACTCTATGTGAGCCATACAGGGGAGAACCTGGAAAGGCCTCAGCCTCTCCCAGGGATTCTGATGGGAACCTTAGGCTTCTGGGACAGAAGGTTCCTCTCAGATGATGAAAACCAGTTCCTTTTCTTTCCACCCACTCCACCCTGCTCTACATGAGACAGATCCTTTGGGGTGAAGAGCATAAACCCATTTCTCCTGAGGTTGGGGGTCATTAGTGCAGGGTTAGTGCAAGAGGGGAACACTGGCACAGGGGTCTCTTGTTGGGTGCTCAGAGGAAGATGATAAGCTTAAGCCTTGGGAAACCAGAGAACTGGCTCCATGCAGAACTACCTGGGTGTGTCACACACCATATCCTGACTGTTTGAGTTTCTTCTGTAGGTGACAGGGGACTTTCTTGGGTGATATGTACAGTTAAGTCTGGGGTCCCAGCAGTATGTGGGGAAGTATAGATGGTTCAAGGAGAGACAGAGAGAACAGTAAGGGGCTGCTGCTCTGCTGAGGCAGCAAGGATGTTGGCCAAAGAAGAGTGGCAAAGAGACACATGGAGAGGCACAGAGGAATGGAAAGGGTACACAGAACCAGAGATTCCTGATTCAAACTCAGCAGTGAGCAGAGAAGACAGCTGGAGATGGACAGGGTGTCAACAGCTGGGTACAAAGCAGTTTAATACAGATTTATTTCCAAGGCTTGTTTTCCATGAAACAGTAAAAAACAAACAAAAAAAAAAACAAAAAAAATACTTCATAGAAGTAGTGGCTTTAAGGCTCTTTGGGGTGAATATTATGGTCCCCAGGGGCCCAGGGGTGAGGGGCAGGTATGGTTTCTCAGGCTTCCCTAGAATCACTGGAAAGTGATTAAAGGGATGGGACAAAGGGCACAAGGAAGGAGCAGCAGATCATGGGCCTGGCTTCAAAGGGTGGAATGGGTGGTGAGGGCATGAGGAAGAGACATGAGGACATTCTGTGTGGCCAGTGAGGTGTGAGCTACAGCAGGGCCTGGGGGTCAGTGGTGGGGCTGGGGCAGCAGTGAGGAACAGAGAACTGGAATGGAAGTGACAAGATGGGATACTCAAGATTATATATCCACAGGGAGAGACAGGTAAGGGAACAAGGGCAAAGGATCAGAGGGTCTGGGGAGAAAGTGGATTAAAGACCTACATGTCAGGTGGCCCAGAGCTGGAGGAGAAGAAAAAGGAGAAGCAGGGGTATTGAGCCTTCAGTAGAATTACCTGATGAGGGGATCACAGCTACTTCACCTCTGCTGGCACTGTCGGTGGGCAGTACTGGCTGGGCCTTCACTGAGGTCCCTGCCAGAACAGTTCTTCCAGACTTCTCTTCTGAGGGGGTCTCCAGATCCCTGGTACCCTCAGGGGCCCATGTAACTGGAAGTAGGGAAGGGCCATCCTCCAAGCTGGAGCTCCCTGCCTCTTCACTCTCTCGAGGAACCCCAGAGAGCTCAGGACTCCCAGTTTCCTCCCCTACTTCTCTTGCCCCATCTGAAGTGGATGTGAGACTCCCCTCCCTTGGGGGAAGCAAATTATCTGCAGGTGGTCCATGGACCCTTGGAGGCCTGGGAGAAGGTGATGCCCCCAGCTGCAGAACTGCCCCGGCTGGTGGGGACACCTGGGAGAATGATTGCTCTGTTTCCATGCCTGTGGGGAGAGGGCTGCTGAGCTCTCTGGGCCACACCCACAGGTCCTCCTGCTCCTTCTCTTCCTCTGGAGCCTCTGTGTCTTTGAACCTTTCTTCTTCCTCCGGGGCTACATCTTCCTCTTCTGAGGACCAGGTAGGTGGTGCAATGGATTGAGTTTCCGGTTCTGACAACAGCAAAACAGTTCAGCACCAGGGACAGCACCCCAGAACACGCTGGGGAGGGTAGGGAAAGGCTGGGGTGAGGAGGTGCTCTCAGTGCATTGCCTGTGGGGAAGAACTCTGACCCTGGGCTACCTTGTGAGGCAATATGCTGAAGGGCTCTGCAAGCTGCCTCTACCTCTGGCAGTTGCATCTCTCTCTCCCAGTCTGTCCACATTTTCTAATCTGTCTGGGTTAGGTAAGGAACATATTTCCTTTCCAGAGAGCACCCTCTAAACACAAGCTTCTCTAGCTGCAGAGAATTGGGGGTGGAATTTACTTGAATAGCAAACTTGGGAGAGTGATAGGAAAGATACCTTGCATTGTGGAGCTGCTGAGAAAGGCCAAGCCATAATCATGCCAGCCATGACCCCAGTGTCCAGTTGGGCTTATCTCCCTGCCCCAACTTCTCTCAGGTGGTGAGAACCCAAGGCAAGGGTTTAGAGTTACCTAGAAGAGTCCTAGGGGCCTCTGCTGGGTCTTCTGGGGTAGAACTTCCTCCTCCCCCATCCTCCATGATGGGAATGGAGTAGATGGCCCCACGAGACTCGCTCTCCATAGTTTCCTGAGGCAACTGCAGTTCCTCCAGCTTCTCTGTTACTGTGACAATGACCTCTAGTCCATCAGAGGCCGGGCTGGAGGCCTCAGAGAAGGCAGAGGGGTGGGCAGAGTCTGTGGCAAGAAGAAAAGGCCAATGGAAAGCTAACTAGGCAACTGGATCCTTCTAGGGCATGGTCTGCATTTGAAGGTTTAGGCTAGACCTCCAGGCCCTGGGTTGTGCTTCATCCTTCCACAGCTTCTCAATAGGAACTCAAGGGCACCCTGAAACTTTACTACTCATTCCTCAAGTACTAGTGGAGTGTCTGTTAGTTTTAGGCCAAGCATTCTCTGGGTATGGTATAGAGAATGCTAGGGTAACACTGTCTTGAAGAAAACAGACATAGGCAATGAACACATTAAATATACAACAGAAAGAACACTTAAGTTATAAAACAAAAAAAAAAGGGGCTCATTCCTGTTACCATCCTCTGTCTACTCTTCAGTACTCAGTGTTGAAAGACATGACACCTGTAAGCTGTAGGATCTTGAATGCTCCCAGGTGCATTTGGCTCACTGAAGAATGGAACAGTTGGTTCACGGAATTGAACGAGTATTAGCCACCTTTGCAGGTCAATATGCTGACACGCTGGGATTGAGGCAGCTTTGAAGCTGGCAGAAGCTTGTACAGATTACTGAGGAGGTAGGTGATGTGATGCAGAGGTTGCAGGGAAGATGCTCAGACCCTAGATGACAAGCTGGGCACCATTTAAGACCCTTATGGGCCAATGACATAAAAGATGGTGAGGGCAAGGCTAGACTTCCAGGCCTGGTGATGCTTCTGAGGTCACTCACCTCTGAAGCAGTAGACATTGAAGCGGTTCTGCTTGCTGGGGAAGCCAGTCTGGTTGGGAAAGAGGAAAAGGGTCTTGACTCCTGGCAGGCCCCCACCACAGCGTTGGCTGGGTGTGATGATGGGGTAGCGCACGCTGCCATCGGCCAGCCAGCCAGGGCTGCATCGGTCCAGGCCACCATTCCAGGCTGCGTACAGTTGGCCTGTGCTGGCAATCTGGGCACCGTGTTTCAGACAGTAGTCCCGAGCCTCCTCCCACGTTAGCTTTCCAGGAGGGGCACCTAGGAACAGTTCTCCTGAGTGAGAAGAGGAGCTGAGTCATCAGGAAGTTGGCAGTTCTTCTACCCCAGACTCTTAGAGGTTCCTAGGTAAGCTGATTACTGACATGGGGTCACTTTCCCCACCTGATGGTACCAAAGTTTGCATGAAACGCAAGATGGAAAAAAAAATTAGTGCTTAGAGGAACCTAGCCCCAATTCCTCATTTTGTAGGGGTTGGCAGCACTGCAACTCACCCCCAGTTGGGTGCTACCTCTCAGATTTGCTCATGGACTTGCCTCTGGGACAGTGTTTGGAGTATGTCAAAGGCCTGTATATTCTGCCTGTCCCTTTAGACACATGAGGAAGAGTGGAGGCCCCAGAAAAAAAACCAAGTGCCATGTTGCAGAAGGGCTTGTCACTCCTAATCACCATTTAGGTCTTCAGCATAACAGTAGACATCATAGAGATCCTCAGGTCCCACCACTCCATAGTTCCGGACTCCAGGGTAGCCATCCATGTCTCCATAGCAGGCTTCTCGTGGGTTCTGGATGGGGTACCTAAAAGAAAGGAAGAGGCTAAGGACTGGTGTCTTCCCGAAGGAGGCCTTACCACATCAAATCTACTGCTGTGTGACAGGTGGGGAGAGGGAAGTCAGGATGCAGGAAATTACAGCCCTGGGCAGGGCCTCATCAACTTTCCTCAGGCCAATTTTCCTTCCTGAGGCAGGGAGCCCTGGGGAACCTCGGTGGAGGGTGAAGGTAGCAAGCACCCTGGTGAGAACAGAAATCCCTGGTCCACACCCCCAGCCCACCTCACAGTCTGGTCGGACAGCCAGCCAGCATCACACTGCTCATAGCCACCGAGGTAGGCAGCATAGAGCTGCTCAGGGGTGGCGATTCGGGCACCTATGCGAGCACAGGCTTCTTGGGCTCCGGCAAAGGAGAAAGCATAGCGGGCAGAGCCCTCTCGGTAGAGGAAGACGACCCCTGAGGAGTAGAGAGGATTCCTGAGCTTGGCAATCACCAGCACACTGACGAGCCTTTCCCTCCCTGTCACTTCCGGTTCACAAAAGGCAAAGTCGGATTATGCTCACTCTACAGTTTATGGAGTGCCTTTCTTCTCCCCTCCCCCCATTTCTATTCAGCCTGTGCCTTTCGCCTGCGGGGTTCGCAAAGCCGTCTCACACTCAGCACCCTGCTGGGCAGGTGTCCTTTCCCGCTTCTTTCCTGGGACCTCACCTTACTCTCTCCTCTCACCTTTGACCTTGACCTCCACAGCATCACTGCTGTCGTCGATACCGTGCTGGACCTCGCAGCGATAGACCCCGGAATCATTGGGCCGCAGCTCGCTCAATACTAGAGACACATCCGTGAGCGATGCGGGGTAGGCGGGCAATGCCACGCGGAACCGGTAGGCTTCGTTTACCTTGACGCGCAGCCCGCGAGCCACCAGCACCTCCGACTCGCGGTCCCCGGATAGGAAGGTCCACTTGACCCGGGGAAAGCCCGGCGCGGCCCAGCGGCTGGGTGGTGGCCGCAGGTGGTGGACGTGGCAAGGGATAGCCAGAGCGCCGCCTAGCACACCCCGCAGCTGCAAGGCGCCAATGCGCACGCGGAAGGCTCGGTCCTCTGTGGACAGGGGTCAAAAGCAGATGCAACCTGACGCAGGACGCAGTGCGACTGTGCGAGTGGCTCCAAGAGCCGTCCTCCAGGATGAATCGCCAGAGGTGCTCCGCCCCTCTCAGGGGGCTGAGCCCTGCCCAGGGTCCTGAAGCTGATCCTCCACCCTTAGCCTCCTACCTCCTGCAGAGCTCCTTTTGCAGCCCTGACCCCAAGACTCCCCTATCTATCAGGGTCCCCAGCTCATCCTTATTCTGCAGTTGGCCCCAGTCCTCGCCCACAGGGTCCCCGGGCTGGAAGCAGGTGGCTGGGGCTGAACTCCCAGGCCCTCTGCCCTGGGAGAGAAGCAGCTTCGAGAGACAATGGTTCTTTGGAGGGTTACTCACCTGAGCTGTCCTCTTTCAAGTCATCAGCGAGGCCTGCAGGGGCCTGGGTCAGGACAAGGGCCGCCAGTAGGGACAGAAGCAGTGGGACCATGCTGCTAACTGATGGAAGAACTTGAGGAGGAAAGAGGAAAGTTGTGGTTAGACTGTGGTGGACTTCCTCTGGTTCTCTGTCACAGCACATACCAGAATCACCTCACCTCTGTTTCTGATCCCTTTCTCCATAGTACCAAGAGGTGTCCCCAGTCAACTCACTGTCCCTGAGCCTGTGTTTTCTTAACTGTAAAGAAAAAAGCACCATCATTACCATGTTATGAATTTTGATGAAGCCATGTGCTTTGAGTGAACTCTGACTCTCTACCTGTCAAGCTGTCATCTATACATAGTTATCATTATCTATTATCTATATACCTAACTATCTAATCTACAACAGAAATCATCCTGTGCATATGTGCATATGTGCATACTGTGTACAGCACACACAGTAGATACTTATAGAGGCACAGTGATGAGCAGCATGTGGAATCAACACTCCATGCACTTGTATTCTAAATCTATGCATCCAAATCAACCACCTGTCAAATATTGGGGTGGGGGGAGTCTTGCTGAACACATTCAGATTTGGGGGGGGTGTCACTGTTCCCTCAACAGTATGTATACACTTAGGAATTATAAGTTACCTAGAGACCAGTTCCTATGTATGAGAGACATGTGTAGGTGACATGCAAAAGAAGGGGCTTTAGCACCTTCAGACTCAGGCAGCCACTGGGGGTTGAAAGTCAAACCCACAGATGCATGGGGTGGGGTTGAGAAAACAACTGTGGTTCCACTTTTCCGCACCCTCAGGTGCCAACCTGAAGCTTCCTTCCCCAGCCTTCCCTGCCTAGCCCTTCCTCTTCCAGGAGGGCCTCCTAGACTGAACCCAGTCACTGCAGCCTTCTCCTTTTCCTTCCTCCCCTCCAGGACTTGTAAGAAAACATCCCTTGGTGCCCAACATCCTCTCCCCCCTCCATCCCTCCCACTTTGCTCCTAGCCATTGCCTTCTGCCTGGCACGAGCTTTCCCACCGGATCTCCTGGCTCAGAAGCCAGCTGGGACAAAGACCCTGTCCCTGCCAGTCCCTGGCCTCGTTCCAGTTGCTCCTTCCCCCATCCGTCTTTTGTAAAAGCCTACAACTTGGACAAGCCACCCCCCACCCCCTCCCTGGCCATCAGCTCTGGAAACAGTTTCTCTTTCTGAGGATCCCAATGCACTTACACCCTCATAGGAAAAGTGAGGTGGATGCCCAGAGGGGCCTAGGGCTAGTTCTGGGCCACCAGATTAGCTAAATCAGGAGTCAGGCTGTTTGTGCCCTCAGGAAGGAAAGCTGCAGAGCTAATGAACACAATCTTTAAGAGCCAGGCCAGACTTGGAAGCATTCAGGGGCCCAGGCATATGGCAGGATCACTTAGGACACCAGGCAAGACTTAATACCCATCATACTTAGTCCCACTGGCTCATCTCCCACTCCTAGCCCTCACTCACTCTGCCTTCAGAGTCACCTCTTTCCTGAGCCTAAGTGTTGGGAAATTTCCTCCTCTCAGGTCCTCCCAGGCCAGACTCCTCTGCTAAGCACTGCTGTGGCCTGTGCTATGTGAGCTGTAACTCAGTTAATCGCTGGGAAACAGGAAGCGATCCAGGTGTTGGGGCATTCTGAGCTGGAGAGACTGATGAAGGGAGTCGGGCTACTCTCCGGGGCGGGAGCAGGAGCTACTCACACACCTGGGCCCCGTGGACCCCCCCCCCCCCCCCCCCTTTTACCCGTGTTGGGACCGCAGGGGACGAAAGAGGAAGCCTGAGGTTAGAGGATTCAACTGCCCTGGGACTTGAGTTTCCGACCCAAGTGGGCAAGAGCGGCTCCTCTTCTGAGCTCTGGCGCTCTGACACTTCCCGGAGGAAGGCCACGACAGTGACAGCAGCCCCCTGCGGGCATCCTCAGCCGTTCTCCAGTCCAGCCGCCTACTGGCTCCTGAAGGTTGTGCGACGGGCTGGTGAGCAGCCTCGTGGCTCAGAGGGCCAAGGCCCGCACAGTCCACTGTGCGCCCACCCTCGGTGAGGCACCGCCCTCGGGTGCTCGGGGGACCCCTGGAAGCTGTGGTGGGCGACCCGCCCTCACCCACGCCTGGATCCTCAGGTTCAGAGAAGTCAAGAAACTTGCCCAAGGTCACACAGCAAGTAAGCGGCTGACACGGCCAGGCCTCCGCACTCACCTTGCGAGGTTCCCTACGCACACCGCGCGTCCTGCAGTCAGGGCTGAGACTGCGGCGCAATGCGAAGGCGTGAGCAGGGCCGGGCGCGCGGGACGCAGACGGGGGCGCCAGCCCGCCGGGCGCCGCACAAAACCCCCTTTCTTCCCACGCGCCCCGCCTTCCTCGCCGTCCCCGGCTCTTGCCGCCCCCGCGGGGGGCTCTGCGCGGTCACGGGACCCGCTGCCTTCTCTGCGCGGCCAGAGGGAGGACAAGCGAAGTAGGACAAGGTTCCACGAACGAGAGCCCAGGACTTGCTGTGGGGGTGGGGGAAAGTAGAAGGGACAGGGAGGGAGCGGTGGAGGGCGCTGTGGCGACGCAGGAAGGCGTCGCGGGCGGGGCGGGGGGACTTCTCATTGGTTAAAGGGAAGAGGACCTTCTCAAACTTCGTAGAGTAGAGGATGGAGGGAAGCTGGGAGCTCTGCCCTGGGAAAGAGGGTACTGCTGGGTAAAAATAGGAAGCCCTTTTTCTGAGGCCAGATAAGGTACAGATGAGCACAGCCACCCCCTTTGAGGAAGCTTTGATTTTACTGTGCTTCCTGAGTGCTCCCTCTCCCTGCTCAGAGAAAGCTGACTTTGCAGTCGTTGGCCGGGTGGAGGTTAGACAGCAGAACCACGGGTTAGGCAATGCAAGTCTAGGCGCATGAGTGACAGTGGCAGTGAGTAACGAAGCACACATCACAGGTTTGCACAAACCAATGTGTAGAGCGAGAGCCTTCTAGTTCCCACTGGGCTGCCCAGTGTGCAGCCAGGCGCCTGGGGGTGGGCCTTGACGACTGCCAGTTGCCCGCCTCCTTCTCCCTCCTTTCCCAGGCTCTCCACTTTTCTCCTCTCCTCCTCTGTCGCCTGGGACTCTAGGCAAAGCCTTGGCACCAACTGTGGGCGACTCAGCCAGGTCCCTGGCCTCAGTCTTCTGGACACCAGCAAGGCCAGTGTGGAGACCTTGATATTATCATTTCTAGATCCCCAAAGGCAGCCTGCCCACCTGCGACTGACCGAAGGAACGTCAGGACAGTTTCCTAGCCATGCTCCACCCTCTTGCTGTGGACTTACTTCCCAAACGCCTTCAGAACCTCTAAAAAAACAAACTCCTCTCCAACACTTACAAGTTTAAAGAGAGAGTTCCAGTTAATGCTGCCCACTGTAGGGACAGGACAGAAGGACCTTGGAACCCAGGGCAGAGTAACGCAGGGAGACAAATGCCAAGCAGTGGTGCCAAAAGGGAGGAGACAGAGTGGGGCCTCTGAAAAACTGGACAGGAGACCTTCGTTTATTCACCCCTTAAGCTGTAAACCAAAAGCCAGCTGTGGACCCGACCCTGTTTGGGGCCCTAAAACTAGTGGAGTCAGCAGTTGGGAAGGACCCTGAGGCTCTGGGGGCCAGGTCTGTGAAGCACCTGCATGGCTCATGTAGGGTTCATGGGGCTGCAGGTCCACCAGGTGTCATTTGGAAAGCAAGGGACTGCAATTCAGTTCAGTTGGTGTCTCAGATATAGCACAATCTTTGCCTGGGAAAAGCTGATTATGACCAGGGAAGACAGGGGAAGAGTCTTCTGTACTCTCCTTCCCCTGCTCACAGTGCACAGCCTGGGGGACTCCTGAGGCAGGCTCCTAAGGCCAGAAGAGCAGGCAGCTATCTGTTAGGGATACCCTGGGCTCTGAACCACCCTCTTCTACTTCTGGGCTGTAACCCCACCCACCCAGCAGGGTCCCTATTACCCCTATGAAATCATTCACACTCTTATGAAGGTCTGCCCCAGTCATTCTGACTAGGAGCTCAGCAGCCCACAGGGTCTGGGTCTTTTTGAGAGAGCCCTTTTTAGAAAGTGGGCATTATGAAGACCTCCTTTGTTGCCAGCTGTGGACATTTGCATGGAGTCTAGCCAGACTCAAATGTAGCCAATTCCACTAGGTACCTTCTCTCCAGTTATGGAGTCTGGCATCTTGACCCATTTCTAACCTCCATCTGGGGGGCTACTGGTCCCAGGCCTGCTTAGTGCAGCCCCTCTAGATCTTAGACAATGGATCCTGGCACTGGTAGCCAATGGAGAGAGGAAAGGCAGCTTTCCTGCTGCAAACCTGTGTCCTAGCAACAGAGTATGATGGTTCACATAGTCTCAGGGATCTTCTGGATGGTGCAGCATCACAGGGGCTGGTGATTGAATCAGAAGCTGCCTGCCCTGGACTGCTGCACCAAGGGCTCAGGAAAAGAGGGAGGAGGAGAGGCGAGCTAGGAGGAGGCCAGACTTGCCTCCCCACATGGTGCAGCTGGCTGCCTCCCATCCTGCCCTGGAGACTCTTCCAGGCTCTCTTGAAGAACCAGCAATCCCCTGCTGCTTCCAGAGTCCAATAGCTCCCATACAGGCCAAAGCTGTGATGAGAACACAAGCTGCCCTCAAAGTTCCTGCCTCCCAAACACCCCTCTTCAGCCCTGGCTCTCACTGTGTGTCCATCTGAAGTGGCCACTGGTAGGGGCTGTTCAGACTTGCACCCTTTCCTGCATTAGCAGCCAGCCCCCACAGGGCTCAGACACCTGGCTTCTTGGCTGGGAGGAGCTGAGTGCTGGCACAGCTGTGCTCAGAGAATGGGGACTTTGATAGCCTCAGAAGAGGGCCAGGAAGTATGGGACCAGCATAGAAATGTCAGGGCATGGCTCTGGAAGATGCTACAGCTGTGGGGGAGCTGGAGCCTGGAGCTGGATCTGCAGCTGAGCATGTGGCACCAGGGGCAGGTTCGCAGGAGACCACCAGAGGTACAAAAGGTGTGCATCACCTTCCTTGCAGCCTCAATCCTCTGTGATGTTGGAGCATGCACCTTTTTCCTGAGCCTCAGTGTCTCCATACGCAAGATGGTGCCAACACCTTTTGGAGTGGTCTTGATGTTAGAGCATGTATGTGTTATTTTTATTTTATTTTAATTTTATCTCTGTGTGCAGGTGCCCTTGGGACCTAAAAAAGCATTGGATCCTCCTGGAGCTGGAGTTACAGGTGGTTGTGAGTCACTTAATGTGAGTGCTGGGAACTGAACTTAGGTTCTTGGGAAGAACAGCAAATGCTTTTTGTTTTTGTTTTGTTTTTGACTCTTTTGAGACAAGGTCTCTCTATGTAGCCCCGGCAGTCCTGGAACTCACTGTGTAGACCAGGCTGGTCTCAAACTCACAGAGATCTTCCTGTCTTTGTCTTCTGAGTGCTGTGATTAAAGATGTACACCACCACAGCCCGTACAGCAAGAACTCTTAATGGCAGAACCATCTCTTCAACCCCTGCATAGAATGCTTTTCGCCCAGCACTTTGATGGTGAACAGTCATGTCAGTCCCATTTCAGAACACTCAGAAGGGAGGGGAGAAACAACTAGCCCTTGTGCCCATGTCAGGGCATGCAGTATGGGCCCACAAGCAGAGTCACCAAAGGTGCTTGTGAAGGCCCTGCTGGACCTCCTCAGCAGGACTGTCCTCTCACCAGGGCTGCTCCTATGCTCCATGATGGAAGCTTGGCCCTCCACAGGATGGCAGTCCGTGGGACCTACCAGCTGCTTTGGGGCAGACTGACTGACACACATCTCTTGATCCAGAGGGAACAGTGTAGATCTTGAGCCGGATTTGCCTGTCCAGTGGCTGGGCACAATGGAGCTCACCTGTAATCCCAGCACTCAAAGAGGCAGAGTAAGGCGGGTTGCTGTGAGTTTGAGGCCAGCATGGTCTGCAAAGTAAGTTCAGGACAGCCAGGGCAACACAGAGAAACTCTGTCTCGAAAACAACAACAAGGGGCTGGAGAGATGGCTCAGAGGTTAAGAGCCATCTAAAGGTCCTGAGTTCAATTCCCAGAAACCACATTGTGGCTCACAACCATCTGTAATGAGGTCTGTTGCCTTCTTCTGGCCTGCAGGTGTACATGTAGGCAGAACACTGTATACATAATAAATAAATTAAAAAAGAAAACAACAACAGCAACAAAAACAAAACAAAACAAAACAAAACAAAAAACAGATTTGCCTGTCCTCACAAGCACCTAGCCAGCACCAATGTCCACAGCAGAAAAGAACTGATGAGTGCTTGCAAGGTCCCTGAGATCATGACCTCTGAGCAAGAGGATTCATTTTACAGTGGAGGAGATGTCCACAGGGCCATGGGCTCTTCAAAAACCTGGAGTTGCCACCCCAGCACACTCATACTCTCTTTTTCTTCCCATTTTTTCCCTCTTTCGTGTATGCACATGTTAATGTGTGTGTTGCTAAAATTCTTCCCCAGGGGAGACATATAAAAGTCTACCCCCCTCAAGGTTTCAGTGACAAACTGAGGTTCAGTTTCACCAGAGTTCGTTCTGGGGAGCCAATGAGTTCATTAGATTTTCTTTTTTTCCTTTTTTTTTTAAATTTTTTATTTTCATTTTATGTGTATTAGTATAAAGGTGTCAGACCCCTTGGAACAGACAGACCCCTTGGAGTTATAGACAGTTGTGAGCTGCCATGTGGGTGCTGGCAATTGAACCTGAATCCCTTGGAAGAGCAGACAGTACTCTTAACCACTGAGCCATCTCTCCAGTCCCGTTAGATTTTCTTATACAGCACAACTGAGGAGCAACTTATGGGAGTGTGGGTGATTATTTCCTGCCAAAGAAAGACTTTCAGGCTAGAAAGTCTTTACCTAGCAGGAATGTGGGCTTTCCTGTAGCTGCTTAGATGGAACTTCTTGCCCCTCATCTCCTCTGACTCCTTTCAGGCCACTTGCAATGAACTTAGGGAAAAATGGCATACAACAGGTGTGGTGGTTTGAATAGCATGGCCCAGATAGACTCATGTGTTTGCTTGTTTGGCTATAGGGAGTGGCACTATTAGCACTATTAGGAGGTGTGGCCTTTTGGAAGAAGTATGTCAGTGTGGAGGCAGGCTTTGAGATCTCCTATGCTAAAGCTATGCTCAGTGTGGCACACAGCCTCCTTCTGTTGCCTATGGATCAAGATGTAGAACTCTCAGCTAGCTCCTCCAGCACCTTGTCAACCTGCACCCTATCATGTTTCCTGCCATGAAAACTGCAAGCCAGCCCCAAGTTAGTTTTTTTTTTTTTTTTTTTTTTTTGTAAGAGTTACCTTGGTCATGGTGTCTCTTCACAACAATAAAACCCCAATTAAGACAACAAACAGGTGGTAAGGGGTCGTTGGTACTCAGGTGAGGCTCTCTTGACCCTTGACACTCCTTCTTTTATGAAGGGTAAACAACAAGCACA